CAGTCTCTGCGATTCACACTCTCAAGAACCAGTAATGTATCAAGATCGGCAAGGCGTCGTAGGCGGAGGAGGCGGTGGCGGATCTGCGCCACACGGAATCATACTCGCCGTCGTAGTCGCAGTCGTTGTTCTCGTTCCTTTCTTCGTCGGAGACGGCGGTGAAGCCATTACAGATGCGATTGCAGAGCTTTTAAGTCCGGTGGGACTTCTCTTACTCCCGATCATCCTCCTCCTCACCATCCAGTTCCTCTCGTCGGAACGTGGTTCCTTCGTATCGGCTATTTTCTCAACCGGAGAACCCGAATCGATTCACCGGGTTAGTGGATCTCCGGTCGGTGTTGCTCTGTTCTTAGTTCTGATCTTGTTCTTACTCTACAATCGCTTCTCTATCTTCGGCGGAGATGATGATTCCGGCGATTGATGCGGCGTCGTTTTTGTCCAGATCTAGTTTTTCCCTCTTTTTCTTTTTGAAAAACAATAAATTTATTTCTTTTATTTGATTTTTGTTTTTCTTACAGTTGAAGTCAACTATACACAGTTATGTAATGTAGGTACGCACGCGAGTCACGTGATATTGGCCTTAATACTAAAAGTTACTAACGTGATATGTGTGATTAGTTAAGCATAAACAGCAAAATTGCCAAATTGATGGTTGCAAATTTGATAAGAAAAAGTTTTATACTAGTATTTGATGAAATGGGAATATACAAAGGATGTAAGAAGTATATTTAATGGGGGACACAATGGAGTTCCGGACACATGACCACGTGAGAATAGTAGAGACAGTTTTCTAGTATCTCATTTGCAATATGTATAGAATAATAATTTCGTATCTCTTTTTTTTTTTTCGTACTGATCATGTTTTTAAAACCGAAACGGCGACTGAACTGGATAAACTTTTGGATCATAAGTAAATGTGGTCCGACCAAGTCGAACCGGATTTAATAGTTTTTAAAAAAAATAGTAATATAAATTATTTTTGTATAACTATAATATCCAAATATATAATATAGCCTTTGAATAAACATATTTTTAAAAATTAATCATGAAGAAAATCATTTTAATAACAAAAAAAACTATTCTAAAACAAAGTTTAATGAAAAATAGTTAAGTTTATATGTTAAAAAAAAATTAAAAACATTAAACCATAATAAAAATTAACTAAATTCAAAACTAATATTTGTTTCTATAAATTTTAATCAT